TGGGCGGGCAGGCAGACAGGCCTGGGGCGGCCTGATGGACTCACTGGGGTGCTTGGGGGATGTTGAAGGCCGCTGCTGCCTTTCCCGAACTTTTACCAGCTTTTAGTTGGGTGTGTCCTACATTTGGTCCTACATTTTTTCCTGGTTTTGTGGAAGAGAATTATGGCAAGCCTAGACATAACCCTACAGGGGAGGAGAGTAATCCCACCAAAAATGAAGAATTATTTCTTCTGTTAGCAAGTCTCCTTGAAAGCAAAGCTCAGAGCCTGTTTTGGGTTTGAGTTTGGAAAGAAATCAAACCATTGCATTTGAGGAGAGGATTGTAACCCCTGGTTGCTCCAGACATTAAAGGAGCTATTGAAGGGGCTGACTCCAATTTCACAAATAGGTCTTGCTCCTGAGACAGCTTCTTTTAAAGTCAGAAAGCTAAAACATGGTGACCCTAAAGCAAACCTATTGTGTACTAAAGCAAACCTATTGGAAGGATTTGTTCAGAGGGCTTTTTTTTTCCCTTCCTCTGAGGCTGAAAGAATATGAATTGCCCAAGGTCACTGAGCAGGAATTTGAACCCTGGTCTCCAGAGTGATAGTCTAATGTTCAGACCACTATATCACACTGGCACTCATTTTGTTGTTATTTGCTGTCAAGTTAACTTCAATTTATAATGACCCTACAAATGAGAGACCTTCAAGAACCCTCCTTAGATCTCCCAGATTCAGGGTCATGGCTTCCTTGATTGAATCAATCTACCTATAGTGTGGTCTTCTTTTTTTCTAACTTCCTTCCATTTTTCCAAGCATTGTCATATTTTCCAATGGGTTACATTGTCTTCTGATACATCCAAAGTATGAAAGCCTTAAGTTTAGTCATCTTTGCTTCTAGTAAGAGTCTAGGCCTGGTTTGCTCTATGATTCCTTCATTTGTCTACCTAGCTGGGGCAAAGCACTGCCTGGAGTCCTCTTGGTATCTTCCATGCATATAAGTTCTCTTATGGAAGTGGTTGGATATTTTTGTCCAAGATAGAATGTCTTTATTCAATTGAAAGTTGCAGGAATGCAATGCAATAGTGGATTCATAGAATCATAGAATTGGAAAAGACCACAAGGGCCATACAACCCAATCCCTTGCCATACAGGAAGACACTTTGCACTATGAACTCAATTTGAAGCAATTGAAATAAGCTGTGGACAAAGAGGGAATGTGGAAGGAGAAGAGAGAAAATAGGATTTTTTTAAAAGTGGAAAAAATGGAACAACAGAGGATTAATGGGGACTTTCCCCAGAACAATAAGAGGGTTTGATGGGTGTGGATGCAGCTCCTCAAGTTCCTAGATAAGGCTAGTGTAGCCACCTTCCTCATTGGACACTGCTTATTCTGGCTGTAAGGACTCATTTGAAGGGTCTCATAGCCAGTGTAATAAAATCAGCCTTCCTCTCCCAATACCATCTGGGCTGGAAGACCAGCCAGGAAGGTGTGTCCAGGGAGGCGGCAAGTTCCATCTTCCCCAATTCCACCTGGAACGTGA